GTGGGTCCGAGCACCGTCGGAGAGCCACAGGTGGAGGAAGTGGTGCGTTTGGCGCCCAACACTATGCTCCGACAGCGTGGTGTACAGCAGCACACTCCTGCCCGCAATGGTTGCAGTCATGAGGTCGGAAGCAACGTGGACCGTCGTCAATGCGTAGGCGTCGCCCAACAGGCGCAAGACCGGCCCGGCGGCCTCTCTCCACGTTTTTCCCCCGTCACCGGATTCGAAGACCCTGCGCCGCCACTGAGAAGAAAATCCGGAGGTGGCCATAAAGAGTTTCCCCGCCCACTCGAGAAGCGTGGCACTGTCACAGTCCTCAGCAACCAGAGGCGCCGCAGGAAGCCTCCAATTATCCCCATTGTCCTCGGAGTACATGACGGTGCAGGCACGCCTGCCACTTCCGTCGTTGAGGAATCCCACAAGAGGGAAAAGTACCGTCGCCGCCCCAACCGCGACGCCTCTGGACATGCGCGCGGGTCCCAGCCCCTCCCACGACTGCTGCCGCATCTGTCCGGCAAGCATGGAGTCCAACGGCCGCGGATCCCCCCACGAGACTCGTCGCTCTCCCCGCTCTTCCACGGACCCCTGAACCTCACCAACAATCAACGCAGGGCCCCAGTGAACTTCACTCAAAGAAGCCCGTGTGGTCACCCTTCTTTTTTGCAGAAGCAGATGTATTTTATTGCCCTTCACCACGGCCTTGGGGCCAAGCGGTGATACACGGTAGCCCTCTGCTTCCGGTCGCTTGGTCACACGCTGCGTCTCCCACGCTTTTCCTTCCCATGTGGCGTCTTCCTTCAACTTTTCATCTGCTCCGTACGCATTGTGCTTTGCCCACAGCTCAAGACGCGTGTTGCTGTCATCGTTGCCGTGTGCGCCAACGGCAAGAGCAACCAGCACACCATTCACGTCAAGAAGCGAGTGACTGAGGAAAGAGGAGACACTCCCGTAAAGAGAGCTGCTTTCGCTCGCTTCTCCAGCAGCAAGCACTGGAGTTTCCCCTTGTTTGAAGAGCTCAACCTCCCTCGACTCTTTCCGCCCTCCTGCAGCGCCGGCAGTCGCGCTGCTGTAGCATACCAACAAAAAGAGCAGGAACACCTCAGAGGAAAACCAGTGCAGGGGCATGTTGGGTTGTAGCTGCTCACTCTCTCTCCCTCTCCCTCTTCTTTCCCTCCTTGCGGTGGGTCCGCGCAGGCCGCAACGGTTGTGTGTGTGTGTGTGGAATTCGGAGCCCTCAAGGCGCACAGCGGCGGCAGCCGGCTGCGTTTGGTCTCTCTCTTCCTTCGGCGTGTGTGTGTGCGTGGGCGAGAGGAGGAAGAAGGGGCCAAAAGGAAAGCAGGCAACGGTGCAACCAAGGCGCACTCGGGACGCAGAACTATCCTTCGGCAGCGAAGCGTTTACGCCGCAAATGTCTGCGCCCACCCCGCGGAGGAAACAAAGAAAAAAGAGGGGGAGGCGCAAGCGCCCGGCCGCAGCGCCGGCCAGCGCCCCCCAGCAGGGCTGCACGCAAACAGCGGCGACAGTCCGCAGCGACGAACGCGTGAGCCGCAGCGAACGCTCACTCGTCTCCCCAATAAACAGTCACACACACAGGCACGCGGAGAGCCCGCAGTTTGGGGGCGCCGCCCCGCAGAAGTAAAAAAAAAAGCCCACAAACACAAGTCACGCGCCGCCTTCCCGCGCCCCTTTTTTTAAACCCCGCCGGCGGCGACACGCGGCGCGCGTGCCCGCAGCAATTCCCTCCGCGGCCCCCTCACAAATCGCCCAGCGACGGCCCCACTTCCCTCAGCGCAGTGCGGCAGGAGTGTGGCGTGGCGTAAAAAGAAAAATCAAAACAAAAAGCGGTGGCGCACCCACCACCACCATCCGTCCCAAGCGATACCTGGCAGCAAAATGCAGGCAGCAGCGTCACAGCGACACGCGCAGCAGCTGCCCCCGCTGTGCGGCCGCAACAACACACGAAGCCCGCAGTGACACCGCCGCCGCCGCCTCAAGCGCAGTCGCCCGCTCCCCGGTCGCACCGCGGGGCCCGCGGAAGTGAGGCGCCACGGAGGGGCCGAAGGGGAAACACGGATCCGCTTCACTCAGCACGCACGGCGCGCACTTCTTCGCACGGCATCGGCAATTTGTAATGGTGCGCCTCACGACCCCCACGAAAAAAAAATAATATCCCTCTGCCTTATCCTCCTCGTTGCCCTGCGC